ATCGTCCAAATGTCGATTGGACGCGCTGTCGTCGGTTTTGGCGTTGGATCGGCAGCTATGGTCTGTCCTTTATATGTTGCCGAGATCGCTCCCGCCAAAGCTCGTGGAAAGCTCATCGGATTAAACAATGTTTCTATCACCGGAGGACAGGTCATCGCCTATGCCATAGGTGCCGCATTTGCGAGTGTCCCTCACGGATGGCGATATATGGTTGGGCTGGGAGGCCTGCCTGCAGTTATCCTATTCTGTCTCTTGCCATTTTGTCCGGAATCTCCGCGTCATTTGGCCTATAATGGAAGGGAGGAAGAGGCTCGAAGTGTCTTACAGAACATATACAAAGGTGCGACTCCAACTCAGGTGGATGCTGTTCTTTTCAACATCAAGATGGCATGCGACCAGGCACGGGAGGTCAACGAAAGTAGCAGTGCAATCTGGAAGATCAAGCAGCTACATATGGTCCCCAGCAATCTTCGGGCTCTGATTAGTGCGTGTGGCCTGATGGTTATCTCCCAGATGTCGGGATTCAACTGCTTGATGTACTACAGCGGCACTCTACTAGGGTCCATTGGTTTTGGGAATCCGGTGGCGGTGGGCATGGTCATCGCAGGCACCAACTTCATCATGACCTGGGTGAATATGATGATTATCGACAAGGTCGGTCGTCGGCGTTTGCTTCTTTCTACTGCTTGGGGAATGGCTGTTGGCATGCTGGCTATCGCGGTTGCCTTCGTCTGGATACCATTCAACCGTGAAACTGGCGAAATCGAAGCAACAAATGGGGTAACACCTGCCGCGATTGTTGTGATTCTTTTCATGATCTGGTTTGTGATTTTCTACGGTGCCTCAGTTGGAAATACCGCGTGGATGAGCACAGATTTCTTCCCGCTCGAAGTGCGTGCCATGGGTACGATGTGGCTCACTTGCTCCAACTGGGGATCCAATGTCATCATTTCCAGTTGTTTCCTGTCCATGATGAAGTCAATGACAGGCTCCGGCGCATTTGGTTTCTTCGCGGCAATCTGCGGTTTGGGATACGTCTGGATCTATTTCTTCTACCCTGAGGTTTCGGGTCTGGTCCTGGAGGAGATTCAAGATGTCTTTGAGCATGGCTTTGGCGTCAAATATGCGAACAAACTGCGAAAAGAGCGCAAGGACATTATTGAAGAACGGATGAGAACCATGGAGAAGCCCATTGCAGTGGGACATTAGTGGGGGTTCCCAAGACGCATGATTACAATGTAAAACAGAATATTTATGACCTAGCATATTGAATCTTTACTATTTACTACACTCAACTCTCAGAATTTGTTCTGTACATGTATCTCATTGCCATCTATACGTACATGAAGCACGACCCTAGAGTCTTCTAGTGACGCACGGGTATCGCTATGCTTGTAAAGTGAGAAAAGAAAAAGAAAACAAACCCTCCCAAATCAGATTTCAAGATCAGAAGCCAAACCCTAACCCCAGAGATGCTTTGGTGAATAATACAAGACCGCAATGCTTTTGTTTTACTTTCGGAAAGTAACAGACTTGCCAGCAATTTCCTTCTTCTTGTTGCGCACGCCAGATGGTGCTTCCAGCGCCTTGGCGTAAGGGTTGAATTGTTTCTTGGGAGCCTTGACACCTGGAGCAGAAGCCGAAGGGGCATGAAGAACCGAGTCTGCCGCACCGTAATCGAAGGGGGTAACGTCGGCCTTCTCAGCCTTGGCGGCCTTCTTAGCCTTCTTTTCCTTGCGTAACTTCTTGCGCTCTTTCTCGACAGAGCTGCTGTCATTGCTTGTATCATCGAGACCATCAGCAGCCAACGCACCCTGGTCGGATGTTTCAACTGGCGTGACCTTGCGCTTGCGGGGGCCGCCGAGCTCCTTCACGGTGAAAATCTTCTTCTCGTCTTCTTCCTTGGCCGATGGTGCCGCAGCAGGGACCGGGTTGGGAGCCACAGAGGGTTTCTGAGGCGCAGCGGTGGCAAGAGTCTCACGCACCTCGGAGACGGTGGAGGGCATGGGTGGTAGTGGAAGGGATAGTCGAAGAGCTTCAGCCGACGCAGTCAGGGAGTATGAAAGAGGAGCAGGTTTTTCTTGAGCATCGAGAATGGTTCCCCAAAACTGAGAAGTTCCATAACGCTCAGCGGTGGGGAAGTCAACATCTTCCACGTCCATAGACATAGCCGGAGCGTACTTCGGTGGCGGTGCCATATCGCGCCATTCGGGGCCCTCAGCGCCAGCAGCCTTAGCTTCCTTGATAGTTTCCAAAAGACTATCAGCCCGATCTTTGGTGAGAGGAGTCACGGGTGACAAAGTTCGGAGCAAATGACCCATGTCAAGGGGCATGAATTGGGAAATCTTGAACAGCATGTGCTTCGGGAACACGCACTGCCAACCCTCGTCCACCTCTCGCGCAACTTCATCACGCCACTTGTGCACTGCCTTGAAGACGGCGAACTGTTCCTTCGAAAGCATGCCCGAGTTCCGCGAAAGCAGGTCATACCAGCCTCCTGGGCCCTGACCCTTCTCTGCATCGTAGACGGGACGCTCATAGCGTTGGAGCGCTTCGTTCTTGGAGCGCTCGAGGACGTAATCAATGAGGCTGTTGTTTGGTTCGGAGGCTGCAATGAGCTCATTCCGCAGGTTGTCATAAACGTAAAGGAGAAAGTGGGTATCAGATCGCGCATAGTCGAACATGGCAGATGGCAGTGGACGAACCCGCCAGTCGGCCATCTGGTATCGCTTGTCAGCTTCAAAATTGACAAACTTGTCCAGAAGGAACTTCAGGCTTCGCTTTTGGTAGCCGAGGGCAGAAGCGGCGTGGAAAGTATCGAACATGCCAACCACATACAAGCCCAAATCGCGCTGCAGCCAGATAATATCCATGGTGGCACCGTGGAGGACCTTCAAAATGTTGGGATCCGTGAAGACCTCGTTAAGTATTTGAAGCTCCTCTCTCCAGGGCTTGAGAGTGTCAATTACCCAATCCTTGTTGCGGGTACTAATTTGCATCAGAGACACCAGACCATGGTAGGAGTGCACGTCATGGTGCTCCAAATCAATGGCAATCTCCTTGGCAGCCTTAAGCTCCGATAGCATTTCCTTGACACCATCCAATGTATCCACAAATGTAGCGGTCGTGCTCTCGAATGGCAAGTAATCGATCGGAGGCGAGGTTTTGTAGGTGGCCTTGGGGTATTTTGCGGCGCGAATCTCGGTCTCGTAAGGGCTCGGGTGAGTGAATTTTCCGTCAATCTGCTTCTTCTTCAAAGCCTGCTTCAATGGAACAGTGGAATTTGGCTTGGTCCGCAGAAGAGGGTGAAAGGGAGCCATGTCCGAATTATCAGGCTTGTGGTCGAATTGCAGTTGCGGCTTCGGGATCTTGGATGGACCATAATCGTAGATAGTCGGGAACTTGCTCTCCCTTTTGATAGGAGGCTGCTCCTCGCGCGACGGGCTCAGCTTCTTTATCACGCCAGTGAATTCGTCCAGACACGCATCGGCCTTCTCCAATAACGAGTCAATCACATCCACGACACCTCGCCAGTTGTCCTCCAGACCCTCCTCATTTGCAAGTTTGGGGTTTGCGATGTCCGACCCAGCAGTAGCAGCTTTAAGCACGGCCGAGGTCAGAGCAAGAATGCGATCACTTTGTTCATCAAGCGATTCTGTGAAGTCCGCGCTAGAAGTGCGGTGGAAGTTGAGATCCTCCGAAGACAGTTGGCCAGCGGTTCGGGTAACTTGGACTAAGCTGGATGATAATTTCTCCTGAAAAGGAGGGAACTCTGCGGAATCCATGGCAAAGCTCCGAAAAATCCGTCGACACGAGATGGCAACGAAGAGATAACCTTGTGAGGACTGTGAAAATGAAAAAAAGTCAACTTGACCGCCTACCGAAATGAGATGGTGGCCTCCGGTGTTCAATTGGCCGATCTCCGGCGATGCTCGTCTTTTCCAACTCCAACTCCACCTCTGCCTCGCTCTATAACTTCAAGCGTGCATATCAAAAGCTCAACTTAATCCTGCTATCCTTTTTCCACGAAAGTCCAAAATTCTTCAATATGGCAGCCTCCATCGCGCCGGAATGCAACGAAATCAAAGAGTAAGTTAAGACGAGAACAGCTATCAAGCTGTGTATCCAGCCTTTATGAAGGTATCGAGACACCAACACTGGTTTGAATAGGAGATACGACACTTGCTTCTTGAAGTGGTACAGCGAGAGTATGTTTCTATTTTCCATACAGATGACTACTGGGCTGACAGCAATCCAGAATACCTACGTGGCAATACCACGTCAAATGAGTGCGAGGAGCTGTTCACTAAATATAAGAAATGTCTGAATGTGAGTTTGGTATATATGGTATCCGTGGATGTTCTTTTGCGGCTGACAGCGGAATTCTTGGGCATCTAGAAAGTCCTCAAAGAGAGGGGCATCGATACGATGCTTGAGGATGCTCGCAAGAGCAGCAGTGAAACTGATTCCGAGTTTCTCAGGAAATCATAATTACATTTCGCATGGAGTTTCCTATGCATAATCTCCACTCATTTCTTTGTATAATACATCTGCAAGAGCGAATTTTTTTTGGTACGGCGCTAAGATTAAGAACGCATTCATGGATTGGAGTTGTCTACTCTCCTGTCTACATACATCCAGCATTATACCTCCAGGGCTGCTAGGTGTATATCTCTCATGCATCAAACTTGAATTTTCAACCCTTCTTGAACGTGGAAGGCTTCTAGTACCCGGGTGCCAGAAGTGAAAAATACTCATACTTCAGCATCCATTCTTACTCTACGATCTACCAGTAGCAAGTACTAGTACTACAACTTGAACGAACCGAGTTAGATCCATGGATAGTACTAGACTGAAGTTTCTCCCGAGGTCATCTGTCATCATTGTTGATATAAGAATGCTCAATCAAAGTCTATTTACTAGGGTATTATGGTACTAAGACTCGAGATCATCGATGGCCTCGTCTCCGAGGATCATTTTGTCCAAAGTTTGGCGGCACTTTAGGGACTGGGCCCCCCTAATGATCCCATTCCGCCACCCATAGAGCCAGTCCCAGAGCCTCCGCTACTAGTCTTCTTCGGCTGCGTGAGCATTGTCCAGACTTCAACCATTCCGGCACGGCGGGCCGGAAGCATACTATATTGCATGCTGTATAAATTACGGCGGTGGATGGGTGGAACGAAGCGTCCGGTGACAAGACAGAAGATGACGCGGGGTGCCAAGTAGTGCTTGCGAAGTCGGTGGCCAAGTTGAAAGTACTGGTCAAACATCGCACGCAGCGGGAGAGGAATGGACTGATTTCAGGAGCATTAATAAAATTTTGTGCCGTTGAAAGATTCGGCCAGATAGTGACTTACCTCAATGTGGATGTAGGAAACTGCAGAAGAGTCTGGATCTGTTGCTTGTTTGTCCAGATCATCCTTTAGTTCGAATCGGATACCACCAGGTAGTCTCTGCGAATCCTTCACGCGCAACATCAAGGCAAATAGAGGGAAGTGGTTAAGAAAAGCGAGACAGGTGTCAAAGGCGGCTTTCATCGAGATGATCAGCATGCGGGCCGATGCAAAAGTCAGATAGAAGACGATCACAGTGGGAAGAAGGAAGAATAGCACTGTAAATAGAATAGTGCCGAGTAGAAGTTGGTCGAGGTCATAGTCGCATGAGTCAATTCGGTTGCGGAGAACATTTCGCTTCTTTCCGCGGAAGAGATGAAAAAGAGAGATGATTATGGTGAGCTGCCAATTGAAGATTCTCGCGGAGGCAATGTAGAATGAGTAGATATGGACGGTCAAGATCGAGAGAAGGTCAGAGAAGAGCGCGATAGGCATACTCGCCCCTGCAAAGCTCGAACAGCCCACAATGTAGATGACAGCAGGAAGATAAGGTTGAAGGTTGGCAATGCAGGCAGCCCAGTTCTCGATGACCCATAGGAACAAGTCACCAAGGAAAGCTGCAAGCTCGTTGTTCAGTTTCAAGCCAGCTGGCCAGTCCATTAACCATGAAATGGTCCGCTGCAAGCCTTCCACCGTCCAACCAGTCAGAATGGTATTTATTTGCGATGCCACCCAGTTTGCGTTATCAATGATGTATGACCCGAGAGCAATACCAATGATCACATCGTTTGCGACAAGCCATAAGCTGTTGTAGAATCGAATATAATCCGGGTGGCTTGTTGTGACACTTTCCCAGTTGTCTTTTCTTTGGCGTAGTTTGACATATTGTATAGGCCAGTAGCAAAATTGCTGCAGCCGGATATCGACCTGTTGAGCTGTCGCAGAAATGTCCTTGATGGCAGCAGCGTCTGGTCGGGCTCGCCACTCTAGAATTTGCAAGACGACTTCAGCAACGGAACGATGGCCAACCAGGCCTATGACGAATATCCGAGTAACAACCGGCCAAATCCATTGCCAAAATACATGAGCAATGCAGACCACAATGAATCCCCACAGCGTCGTAGCAGATTCTACTACTCGCTCACCGACACTCATACTTCGCTTGGCACGAATTCCAATGAGATGACTATTTTTGTGCATCAGCTGTGCCATCTCATAAGCACAATTGACTTGGTTGATTATAAGCGGGAGTGCCTGCTCTTTCTGCGACGGAATGTGCTTGACCACTGTATGGAGCTTTAACTTGTCAACCAAAACTCGAGCTCGCGCTTTCTCTTTCTCTTCTTCTGACTCAACGTTTGCCAGTATTGCACTTCCTTTCTCCGTTGTCGCCACCTTATCGCCAAGCGCAAGTGAAATTGGGTCAAGGGACATGTATTCCATGCGCGTTGGATGTGGGCGATGATACATTATGACTTGAACAGACACGTTCGCATCAGCCGAGCACTGAATCTGCGGGGCCTTTGATGACGAATGCGTGGTGACATAGAGATGTGAGGGGTTGAATGATGTTGGAGGAGTGCGCGAATTGGCCGAGCCGAGAACGTGCATCTGAGAGCGTCCGCAAAGTGTAAATATTCGAACAATAGGGTGAGGACTGTTTCGAAATAGAATACCCGCACGAAGCGCATTTTCGACATTCCGAGGCTAATGGTTGACGATTGCATTAGCATCTAACCGTAAGAGATCAAGGGTATCGGGCAACGAGCACGCACTTCAACATCCTCCAAAACTGTCAAAACGAATAGATCGAGCTCCGAATTCCGCCACCCCACGATCACCCCCGGTGACGAGGACCGCGGGAGATCATATGGCCAAAATACCCGTAACAACCCATCGCTCATGATCATGTTGTCATCCTCCGCTCAGCCTTCAGAATGAGCCCCGACGACGAAGCTGTTCTCTGGCGGATACACCCAGGTTCACGTGGCGCGGATGCTATTATATTTCAATAATATCAGCCTCATGCGCTTCCCAACTATACATCTCTCATGACTCTAGATATCCGGTATTTGCTTGGCATCTTGAGCTACGGGTAGAGCTCACCTGGATTCCCTCCTTTGACGCTAGGAAATTGATCGGCACGATGAGTAGAAAGAAGAAAATGGACAGGAAGACGAATCCTTTGAGAGTTCGTGTCTAGAAGACACAAGTTGGGGTTAGTGATTGAAATCCATTGGCGCGCATATAGCCAAGCTTCAAGTGGGAACGGAGGGGCCACCTTGAAGCGGCCACGACAGCACTTACCACGACGCCGTGATCCCACGCAAAGATCGCCAATTCGTAGAGGCGGGTGACAAGATCCCACCTGGCGGTGATGTAGCCCGCGACGAAGATCCCAAGGGTGAGGACAGAAAAGGGGTGCATGAATCAGAGTGGTTTGGGCGGTCCGAGTATTAGTTTGCGCGCATAGCTGAAGGAGCGGCAGTCGAAAGTGTTTTAGATATTCGAGCGCAGTAAGAGGAATCAAAGTCGCTAGTCGGTGGAAATGGAATTGAGAAGAGGCGCGAGTAACATCAAGCAAACGAGGGACAGAGACGAAGAGGTCGACCCGCTCTCGCTGCCCCGAGGCGAGGCGCGTTGCGTCTAGGCCGGGAGAGTTGCCCCACGTGACTGACTGTGCCTGGATACTCTAACAGAGGAAGAATTGATGTGCTTTTTCGCGCATAGAAATCATTTGGAAAGAAATTTATGAATAATACTTGAAAAATGATCCCGAAATACGTAATGGGAGAATGTCTTATTCAATGTCTTTTCCGAGTGGTCCCTCCACCAACGCCATACTCCATAAGACAGCCTAGTCCCCACCCTTATAGAGCCTTAATACCCTGGAACACCTTATTTGCCTGCAGCTTGCTGTCCGCTTGGACCAAATCGCGCATGACCTGGCGTTTCTGTTCCGATGACAGCTCTTTGCCCTCGATTTCTGCCTTCCATTTCACAAGCATGTCCTTCAAGAGAGTGTTGCCTTCTTCCACTTCCTCTTGGGAGTACTTCTCCAGTGAAGGTGTAGGTTGTTGTTGCTCGCCATTCTCAGGGTTTGCAGATGTAAAGTCTTCCAACTCCTCTGCCTTTTGACGAGCCATGTTCACAACCTTGTCTGGGAATCGTACAAGCTCCGCTACATGAATACCGAAGGACTGATCGCAGATGCCCGGCTCGACGCGGTAGAGAAGGGTGACTTGACGCTTCTTCTTTTCAGCCTCATCGTCAGCAGTGGACTCATTGCCATCGCCAATGAATGCCACAACATGTAGGTTCTTGACGGCTTGCTGGTACCGATCAGCCAGAGCGGTGAGCTCGTGGAAATGAGTCGCGAAGAGACCAAAACAACGAATCTCCGTCACAATATGCTCCGAAATTGCCCAGGCGAGACCGAAACCATCATAGGTGCTAGTTCCACGGCCCAGCTCATCAATAATGATCAGGGACTCCGACGTAGCAGATTTGAGGATATTAGCAGTCTCGAGCATTTCAGCCATGAAAGTAGAGACACCCTTCAGCTGAGAGTCACTGGCTCCGACACGAGCAAGAATGCAGTCGAAGATGGTGAGTTCTGCTTCAGTACAGGGCACAAAGCAGCCGGTTTGGGCCATGAGCGCGATCACGCCAATTTGACGAATGTATGTGGATTTTCCGCCCATGTTGGGGCCAGTGATTATTAGGAAAGAGGATTCATCTCGAATTAAGGAGACATCGTTGGTAATGAATGAAATGTCGTCTTGCATTTCCATGCAAGGATGGCGGGCTTCCTTGAGCACAGTGTTGCCTGTACCCCTAGGATGCATTTTAGGGCGAACATATCCAGAAGGAGCATGGACGGACGCGTGGGCGAAGCTCACGATGACATCGAGATGAGCGAGGACACCAGCAAGCTGCTCGACAACCGGGCAGTATGAAGCAGCGACATTGACGACCTCATTGACAAGTCCAGTCTGAGTGCGGTTGTAGTTGGAGGAAAGTTGGTCGTGCTCCCGGCGAAGCGACTGCATTGTCGTAGTCGTGAAGTAGACACCGTTCTTTTGAGTAGAGCACTCTTGATATTCTCGCTTGTTGCGAATGCAGCCGGCCTCGGTACGAGTGAGACGGAAGCACCAACCATGCGTTCGGTGGTTTTCCATAAATAGCTTCTTCTCCATTTCTTGATTCAAATCCTTGGCCACTCGGCGATGCTCCATGTCCATATCATATCGCAACTTGTCCAATTTTTTCCGAATGACACGAAGGCCCTCGTCAAACTCGGGCTTGATAATGAACTCGTGGTTCTCCAGCGCATCCAGATCAACGGTAGTTTCCACCATTTCCTCGAGCTTGGCCAAATTATCGGAGTGGCTGCGGATTTTGGTAGTGTATTCGGTCTCCAAAGGTGTCTGGTACTCTTCATCCATGACATCGCCGAGCGCACTCACAAACCCTGGAAGACGGATCGCTACCTGATAAACCCTGACAACATCCTCCAGGTTTGCCTGCTTCCTCTGAAAGCGTTTAGCAAGTCGATACAAATCAGGAATGGCACGCAGGTGCTCTTCTTGCATAGTTTGTCGCAGCTCTGTATTGACCACGAAAGCCTCGACGAGTTGCTGTCGCTTCTCGATAGCGGCAAGATCCATCAGTGGTTGTTTCAGCCACTGCGCTAACAAACGGCTGCCAACGGGCGTTTTGCAGTGATTTAATAGGCCATATAAGCTCATGCTCTTGGCTCCGTCCCGTGGACCGGGCATCAAATTCAAAGCACGGAGAGCGGAAGCATCCAGTTTCATATATTGTGATAGGTCGTGTTGGTAAAGCTGGTACTGGCCGAAGTTGGTTGGGTCGGTCAAAACACCGAGATATTTGATCAAGGCAGACGCAGAGCCCATGGCAAGTTTGAGTTCCGTCTGCGGCAGAGTCGCAGCAGACCGTTCATCACGTAGCAGACGAGTGAGATCTTGCTCAATGTCTCGGACTCCATAGTCCGCCGCGGGTCGTTCAGATATGGCAATACCGCAGCTATCAGCGATAGCCCGGATCTTACCCAGTTCGATGTCCTTCCGTGAGCTATCCATCTGAACTAGACATTCTTTGACACCGAGCTGGATAACCAATGATTCAAAGTTGGAGAAAACGTCGTTGTCGATGAACTCGCTCACCCCAAGCTCACGCACACTGGCATCTGCAAAACACACGCCGATGTTTCTAGCCTCGCCCGCACGAGCAGATATCTTGACAGCGAGAATAATTGGTGCCGAGTCCATTGACAATGCACCAACACTCCCCAGCTCCTCCTCAACATCTTGGAGGTTTCCTGGGCTAGCCTGCTTTCCCAGCTTCCAGTTGCCCTTGCCCGTGCCACCAGAGACCCAGATTTCAACCCGCTTATTCAGTCTGAACAGAGCCTCACGCAGAAAGTTGCGGAAGACAGTAATGCTCAGTGTAACGGAGGCCAGACCGCCAGTCTCGCTGCGGCCTAGGTTGCGAAGGACGGAAGTCGTCTTGTACACAGTACGAGCGATGAATTCGGCATCGCTGCCGTGGGAGGAGTACCAGTCTCCACGGTCAAAGACACGTATCGTTTCATTGTTGTCCGACTCGGGGAGGGATTTGTAGAAGCGGATGAAACCGACTTCGTCGTCAACCTGTGGTTTTGAGAAGATGGTTAGCCATTATTTGCTGAAAATTGACACGAGTGAGATTCTTGGGAACAGACCTTGAGATCCGGTCGTGAAGACATCCTGACGATGGTTCTGCAAACAGTGGAAGTAGAAGCAGTAAAATCACCAGGCCTTGAGGAGTAATGTACTGTTGCCCATTGACGTGAGCAGCGACGCGCGCCGGCCGCGGGCGCGCCTGCACGTGATACGTCCACGCGTAAAGTACCGGGGCTACTCCGTACTACTCGCTCAGATAGCCAGTTGGAAATACAAACATTATTCAGTAAATAGGAAATTCTATAGTTTGGTTGTTGAGGTACGAATTTCCAGGTACTTTTATTTGGTGTATGTATTATATTAATGTGAGGGTATTGTCGAGGTCTAATAGCTAGTAAAATACCTCCTGATAGTGGAGGGTAAGACATGGTATGCTAGAATACAGGAGGGTATCAAACAACGCTGATGCAGGACCACTTGGAGACCAGCTCCCAAGGGTCAATATGAAACATTCACACAATTCGACGATCTAAGATCTTTCAAATGCTCCGTAGGACGGAAGTCTGGACGCAAGAGCCAGTCTTGTCCGACTCTGCCTCTAATTGAGCAACTTTCTTCCCGATATCCTTCGCTGCAATATCCTTACAGGATTTCAGCACCACCGAACGCATCTCATTGATCGTCACAATGTTGATCCAGTGCCCGGCCACACGAGCGTCTGCTAGAAGCTCAATGCACACCTCCACTTCTTCTCTCAGGAATAGGATTGCGAATCGAGTCGCGCACGTGCTCGACCATAGTCTCCAGCTTGAATGGTTTGCGCTGAGTGGCGAGCATCGCCTTAATACCAGTTCCCACGTATCCCGCAGGCGGAGAAGGGCAAGGATTCCGGCGACCTCTTCAACTCGTTCGGCGGCAGACTTGCGGACAAGCTCCTTCTTCGTTGGTGGAGGCGGCAGTTTAGATTGGACAAGCTCTTTATTCCTAATTCGGTCAAGGAGGCCTTGTCGGCGATTGTTGTTGGCCGCCAAGGTCTTTGGACCGCCGTTCTCGATCTCTGAGCCCATCTTCTCGGCTCTCATGCGGATAATGCCTCCTCTCAAGTCCTGCAAGCGTTGTTGACCTTTCTGGAACGCGGAAAAGGGGGCAAGGGACTCGTGGATGGGGGCGAGGCCAAGGGTTTCAAGGAACAAAGCTGGGCGGTCTTCTTCGGCAGCAGCCTTCAAGGAGTCTTCGGTTTGCTCCCAAAGGAGATCAAATGCTTGCTCAAATGCATCCTGCAGAGCTGAAGGTTGATCGTCGATCTGAACGGCACGCTCCAGGCAGACTTTTCCAAGACCGTAATTGGCTAGACGATAGGAAATATCTTTGGCCTTCAAGCTGCGTTCCCAGACCCAGACCATACGCTGAAGGTCCTTAGGCTGAACTTTGCGCTTCTTCCAAATCCGCGTGACGCTGGGAAGGAATTCTCTCAGATCGGCGGGTGTTGATGGTCCATTGTGGGCGGAGTGGATAGAAAGGGCCTGAACCATGGCTGAGTGGAGGTCGATGAATTCGGTAATGCATTTGGCACGAGGTGCAAGTTTCGGCTCGGGGACGACTTTTTGGAAGTTGAGAGTGCGCTGCTTCGAAGGGGTGTTGGGTGTGGAGGGAGATTCGGCGATTTTGGCTGAAGTACGCGTGCGGCGGCTCGGGGTACGCTTTGGCGAAGCATAGTGGCCACTGCGAGGGGAGGCAACAGACAGTTGGCTGAGTTTCAGAGTCTTCGATGGGGTCTCGGCTTCTTCAACAACGGGCAGTCGGTTGGAGGTGTCCACGTTTTCAAGTTCCTGCAACTTTCGCTTCTTGGACGGGGAGACTGGAAGGGTCGCAGATTTCTTCGCGGGTAATTGCGGCGTGACGCCGGCCTTTGTTGCCCGACCAAAGACTGAGATTCCTGGCTGGGCCTGAGCAAGGCAGGGCGCTCTGGCGGTGCGAGGCATCGCGGTTGCTGTCGGCAGGGTCTTTTTTTGCACTTTGTGGCTTCCGATAGTCGATTGCACTTGGTTGAGGAAGTTGCGATGAATAAATGCAAGCTGCGAATAATCAGGGTAAGAGATACCTAGTATTATGAGAAGAGTGAGGTAAAATGAGGAAAGCTCAACTGTGTGGAGAGGAGGGAAATTAAAGTCGTGTCTCTGATGGGGGCAGAAGAGAACGCGGTTAAGACGCGTCGCGTTGAGAGACGCCCTTAGCCCAATTGGGGGGGCTAATTAAATTAAGGTGGAGACGCGTCGCGTGGATCTGGTTCGTTCAGCACAACGTGTACGGAGTCACAGGAAAAGAACAGAATTAAAGATTTGGGATCTCAAAGTAAGAAGGAGAAATCAAGACTCTCAGAGATGTGGGATTTTCGAGATAAAATAGAAACAATGGACGATGGACATCTGAGTGGGGTGGCATTCTCGTAACTATGGTAATCCCCTGGCATCGGAATGCGCCTACGAGTATTGACTGCACGAGCATATGCCCGACGGCCCCGGGTCCGTTAATTGGTTTGTGCTACTTCTGCTGCGAGTCAAACAGGTGGGGCTGGCTTTGGACTAGTAGTACAGAGTACTGCGTACTGTACTCTCGTATGCATACGAGTATGGGGGTCATTGGGAGTATTGCAGCCACCTGGGCAGATGTTCGGCATAATCGGATACAGGGATATCTAGTACTGAGGAACTGGGTGTGACTTCCTTCAGAAAAGTGAGGGACCAACCTAGATGAATCTGGAGCCAAGGTGAAGCCGCTGCCTCGGTCGAATAACAGGTCTGCGAATACCGTATGATGGAACAGCTCTGTACACACCAATTGAACGAGGAAAGATATCAAAGCCAGCATTCGAGGGGACTCTGCACCAGCTGAAGCGAGCAACTGCTCTGGTAAACCAAGGTGGAGCGCACGCCATCGTATTCACGTCACGCCACTGAGCAAGATCACTATGTATGGCTGGGATACATGAAAAGAATGAGCCGTAATTGTTAGCAATGCTTTGGAATAACCCGAATCATAGTCGTAGAGGGTCGATGGAATTCTACCCCAAGTACGAAGTATGAGCTGCGTCTATTTCTTCAGTGGATCAACCAGGAACAGGTACTAGTATCTTAGCCTCGGCCGCCTTCCACCTACTGGGTAACTACTAGAGTATTTGAAGAACCATGCGCGGTGATTAGAATTCGAAACAGTTCAAAGAGGATGAATTAAAGTAACAGTCATGCACATCATAGTCACAGAGTATCGGTAGCATGGTAGGACTGCAGCCCCAGCGACTCCGAGTCAAGCAGCATCATACTCAAATATAGAGAATGAGCTACTTCTATTTCTTCCCGCCGAACCAACCAGAGACATTTCCCTTGGCCTCTGCCGCCTTCTGCTCAACAGTCCGATCCACCTGGTCGATCTTGTCGCGGGCGTCCTGGCGGATTCCATCGAGCTTATCCTTGCCATCCTGGGCTAGTTCGGGGATGCGCTCGTCAAGCTTGAACTTGGATCGGGCATTGTTGATCTGTATTTATCTGGTCAGCGACGTGGGAAGAGACAAAAGGGAGATTTAAGATCGAATGCATACAGTTTCATCAACTTGGTAACCGGCTTCCTTGCCAATTTCTGCTCCCTTCTGTTGCGCATCTTCGCCACGGGGGGAGCTTCTCGCGCGCCTTCTCGGCATCGACTAGTTGGGTCGAATGTTAGTTCAGATTCCAATGCTGCCCCGATTGAGATAGATAGTCTCCATGGATTTTTCAAGCAGACCATCAGATCATAGGGTACGCACACTTCATTTCCTTCTTGGCGCCCTGGACATCGCCGCCAGCACGGTAAAGGTAGTACCCGCCAGCGCCGGCAGCGGCGAGACCGAGGTAGAGGCCCGTTCGGTTCTTCGACATGATGATATTTGAGTTGAATGTGTGAAGGGGAAAGGTTTCAAGGAGACAAAAATCGGACTAATGGCGAGAGGAGGTCAGGGATGCCTGCTTTTTAAAGGAGCCAGAACAACAAGGTCGCAGCCACGGGACGATGACGTCTTCCCAACTGGAGCTCCCCCGTTCACACTTGGCCGGTTGTGGCCAGCCCGGTTTTCACCTGCTACTTGTTGGACATGATATATTCGGGTAACGGGTTGAGTGAGTTAGATCTCATTATGCCAGTGGATTCCATTGTTCATTACTGTGAACAATGAACGGATCCTTGCTATTACTTTATTCTGTCTCTTTTGACTCGGTCACCCCACGCCGCAGAGCAACCCAAGGGCTGCTGCACCGACCCCGACGTCACCGACCAGTCATAGTCGCCTCGTAATTCCGTCTGCTATGCACGGACGACCCACGGTCCCTTCTTCACAAGCTAGATTTGGTTCATTCTCATCCATGGGATGGCCCCTCTCATATGATAGTGCTGGGCATCTCAATACTACTAGTACTAGTCCAGAATGCGGGAACGGGTCGATCCTTTTCAGTCTTGCGGGGTAAACGTCATCATTTCAATGGTCCTTTACAGTAGTACTACTAGTAGTAGGTGTGCCCAAATACAATTATCGTACTACACCACCACCAGGATTACTTTAGAGTCAACGATGTTGTATATCGATGCAAATTTGCATGTCCATTCATAATGAGAATAAACATATCATAAGTTCAGATGAAATCCCGTATGTAACATGACATGACATGATATGATCCACCACATGACAGAGAAGGAGAAGACGGTTCAAAAAGGATGTGTAAAAAATGAAGTAAAATAGTATAGTAAAACAGGCAACGGAACTGGAACTGTAGAGACGTGGAGAATCCACCGACCAAATCAAGAGGAAGCGGGGAGGAAGACACTGTACTGCAAGCGGAGTGCCGAAGCGATCGAAGGCACACCACGACCAAGAAAGAGGGAGGGAGGGGAGGGTGGGTGAAAACCAATTCATCGAGGCTGGGGTATCGGTCATGCACACGGTTTCATCCAAACGCTCCTGCTCGAAACGCCAGGACATGCAGCAAAGAACCGTCAACCGGGAACGAGAACCGACCAGAGGAAACATGAAGAAAAACTAAATAAAAACAGAGATCAAAGACGAGACCAACCAAAACCAAACCAAACCAACAGACTCCCAAACAAACAAGGAGATTTCATTTCATGTATAAATTCGTTAATTCGTCACTTCATCAGGAGCTCTGCGCGGTTGTGGGGTAAGAAAAAAGGAAAATAAGAAAGAAAGTAAGACGAGCAGGGACATTGCATCAATTACTTTCTTGGGTGGTGGTTGAAAGAGAGCGAGTGTTGAGTTATGAATGATGTGAGGGATTCCAATGGCGATTTAAATCCACGCCACATATTCGACGTGGATGACAGATGCTTTTTCTTCGACGAGGATTGTATATAGCACCCCTTGTTCAAATATTCATCGGGTACGGGCAATTTACAGGAACAACTTGGCAGTCCCTTTGTTTTCACTAGTTGCAACAGCCACCAGGGCCTCAAGCCGTCCCATGCCAGAATCGCGTGCGGAGGAGTCCGGGAAGGCATCCGATCGGGGCTCTTGCTCGGCATGACCAGGGTAGCCGTCGGCGTGAGAAGCTTGTCGACCACAGATCTATGACGGCATTAGTAACCGAGGCGAGAGCCGTCCGTTCGAAGAGGAGTTCCTACCGGTTGAGGATGAGCGGAGGGAAGTGAGGAGTCGTGGGATTCAATATATCCGCTGCTGTGTACGATCGCTGGGTGGTACTCGACCGAGGCCGTGGATGGGGTGTGAACTCCTTCGCTGCTGCTGGAATCTTCTGGGGAAGTGTGTGACGGTCGGCTTCCAATCGAGAGGTTATGCGCATGCCCACGATGCTCCTCGGGGCTTCGTTCCGCAGTGGGTCCGAATGTCGGTTGGTAAGATGAAGAGGGCCGAGAGGAGACATTATGAAGCTCCTGGATGGTCTGTTGGCTCCACTGCGATGCGTCCCTTGATGACCGTCGATCACGGATATCAAGACCCGTCAGATTGGTATGCAGAGACATATCCCAAGATACATGGCCACGACGATGACCGGGACCAGATATTGGAGGCGCGGGCCGCACCGACGGTTGAGAGTAGTTGAAAGTGGAGCCAAATGCCTGGGTGGAAGTCGGTGGAGGCGGACGGTGTTGATTATCAAGCTGCATTGGGCTCGCCTTTCGGGTAGGTGGAGTCAAAGGTCGCTGCTGGGAGACGACTTTATCGAAACTCTCGATTCCGGGTAGCCGAGGTGGTTGTTCAGACGAGTTGTTGACGCCGAATGATGGAGGCTGGACGGTGTCGGGTGTATGATATTGACTCAGGCCGCTAGTGCTTGGCCGACCAAACGTAGGGTAAGTGGAAGGATGCCAGGTTCGTCTCCGCATTTCGGCTTCGGCAGCGCTGATTGTACTCTCGTCCCGTGAAGCCGGGTAGTTGCTGCTGGTAGGGCTAGCAAACACCCCAGCTGCAGTTGGGTAGGGAGGCCCAGCAGGTGAGTTGGCGTAAGCAGGAGGATACGCATTTCCATGCTGTGCGAGAAATGGATTGCTACTAGTTGGTACAGAAAGCCGGCGGGCAGCTGTCTTACCCTCCCAAAAGCCGTGTGACGCAGTGGACATGGGCGAGGCGAAGTGTGGACTGCTGCCTGCTGCGGCAGAGTATGCATTGGATGGGGTGTATGGCGAACCTGTGGCTGCAGGACCTGGAATGCCACGAACTTGGCCCGGTGGCGTACTTGGGGGCTCTCCCATCGGATCCAGTCCTAGTCGAGCTCGTGCCGTCGGATCAGTGGCCATCATCAACGGCGGAGGCCTACGCCGAAGCTCTGGGGGTTGACTATATGTAGAGGCGGTGGATGTGATACTGGAGGTTGAGAGATTCCGACTATGGCCTCTGCTGTGGCCTCCCTGGCTGCCTCCAGTACCAGCTCGTGCCCGGCCAGGAGGACGTACTCGGTCCGTTCGTACCTGACGCTGAAAGCGGGTGCCGGTCGCGGCTAACGAGTCACCGGGGATCTCTTCGTTCACGTGGACAGTCTGCGCATGTTGTCGAAGGTTGTCAAGTCTCGAGAAACGGCGAGAACAGTGACACTGAAAGGGACGTTCGCCGGTGTGCTTTCGAATATGTCGGGCCAAGTGCTCGCTGCGGGTGAAACTCAAGTTGCAAGGCGGGAAATCGGTACAGAAGAAGCGCTGTCCTTTTTTCTTTTTTGAGGGAGGCGCATTCCCTTGGTCGTCTTCCTGGTCGGTCAAATCATTTTCTCCCTCCGAGTCACCATGCATCGTCTCGTCGGAATTTGAAGAGGTCCTCGTATGACCAGAGGTTACCGTCCGCACGGAGACATCATTCCCCAGTCCGGTAGTCATGGTGCCGTCGATGCGTTGCTCGGTGGTGGAAGATCGATCCGGGGTGGCCGGTACGCCATTCGGATTCGCACGAGGGGTGGTCGCACCATCCATGGCGATATCGTCGGTCATGGGCGAGGTGTTGACAGGTAGGAAGGAAGCCATGATCGGCGACGTAAGAAGTGGAGGCGGGTGATGTCAAACTCGCTTGCTTCGGAGCGAGGGGCCAGAGGCGAATAACAGAAAACCACCCTATCCTCCCGCGGTCGCAAAGCCGGCAACACGATCCGCTTCACTCACAGTCCCAGATGCGAACGGGAGTCTATAATCTATGTCGAGGGGGTGGAGATATCGTAAGAGCCGCCAGGATAGGCCAGCGTACTCGGAGGGGAGGGAGATGCGGAGTCGAAAGGCGAGATTGACTGTGAACATTTGCGCAAAAAAACAACTTCAGTAACCAGGGCCACTACAAGAGGACAAGGACAATAGATAATCTCGACACGTACGATTAGGAGGCTGGCGCTTACTTGCCTCTCTTTCTCTCTCACTCTCACACACACACCTGGAACTCTCTCTCTCTCTCTCTCTCACTCTCTCTCTCACACGAACACGCGGACACAGAGTATACTTCTTCTGGATTTTCTTTTCTTTTCTTTTTTTTCTCCTTTTTCTTTTCTTTTTCTTTGTGGAAAGAGGGGGAAGTAAAGATGGGAGGGTTCAAGGTGGAATATGGACTGCACCCGCAAAATGTGGCGACGCAAGGGTTGGCGAGAAGGAGGGGGGGGGGTGGAAATGTGGGAGGAAAGGGAAACGATCGTTAGCCGATCGCAAGCATCTCTTTCAAAAAAAGGCACGTTGCGAGGGAGACCGCCACGCGAAGAACTGGGATCGTCGAAGGTGGGGGAGGTTTCAGGGTAAATAAGCCTGGTGGAGATACCGGAAAGCCTTAAGAAAAGAGAAGTACGAGTACTCGTATTGTCGTAAGAGATAGATCGAGATGATCAAGGAAAGAGTATAGCCCAAGGCCTAGGGAAGGAAACAAAGAAGAAGATGCAGAAGATGCACTAGAAGAAGAGAGAGAAAAGGGAAGAAAACCTGAAGAAAGATAGAAAGATCGGATAGAGAGAGCAAGCAACAGAGTGGAAAGAAAGGCAGAGTGGTGACGACGAGAAGAGGCTTATCGGAAGCGAGGGGCAAAAGGGCCCTCCAACTCAGCTTACGGCGAGTCAGATTGAACATCCCAGGAACTCGAGGGCTTCCGGGCCTACCGATGCGAATCATCGAGTGTTTCACCATATCACAGCAACCCTACTACAGTATACAAAGACAAGACAAGTACGAGTACATCCTCTGTACGAATACATAGGATCTTCAATACAATTCCTACCGATCCCGGACGTGCCTGACCACACTGAACATACTGTTGGACAGTCACAGTCAAACAGCCCGGGATATCCAAAGGCACCAGGAACCTGGGCACCTGATGATTCAACCAGGTCCTCGAACCACCGATACAGCTTAGAAAAAACAAAAAGTCTTTGACGTTGACCACTGTCCCCTCTGGTGGAGCCAATCGACCGGTCCGTTTGGCGCTGGTGTCCACAGGTTGGTCGAGACCACACCCCTCTTCCACCCCCGGTTGACTTGGGTATACTCGTAGTTCGGTCTGTTGGAAGAGAGAGAGAGGGAGAGAGAAAGAAAGAAGGAACGAGAGGGCCCTTTGCTGCCCATGCGACCCCCTTGCATCCGATGTATCTCTTGCAGTCGAACGAGTTCCCCCGTCATACTACTCCCCAGTCTTCGATTCGTACGTTACCTGGTTAGGGGTCCAGCCTGGCCATTCCGAATGGTCCGTTCTTTCGATACAAAACAATAAAAAATAAAAAATCTCCGTTTCTGCCCCCTGTCACAGAATGAAGGGAGGGCCCAGTGCTAAAACGCCACAGCTTGCGTTTTGGCTCGAGCCTCGCATGGCCCATGGATGAGGTACGATCTGGCCAGCCTCTTCAGTACGAGATGGCAAGATGCGGGGATTGATCAGTCTCATCGTTTGGATCCCAGGGTCCCTTCCGATATACTACTGTACCCTACACTCGTATAGTCCCGAGGATAACCCCCTCGGATATCATAGCCATGAGTCCCCCCTAGCGCCGCCCAAGGTTAGGGTACCGTAGTTCTGAAGAGAGTTCATCCAACCACTCTCCCGCGGCGGAAACCCTTCCCCGCTCACGGCGAGCTGAAACCTTCAGGGCCCGGTGGCCACCGACTCGCCCGTTGAGGATCACCGTGCCTGCGTCGGGGGCCGTGTAAATTTGGTAAACCTTTGGAGGATCTTGCCCCTCCCCTTCTTCCCCCCCACTTTCTTCCCCTCCTCCTTTTGCTGGGGTTCTCGGCCTGGGGTCTTGTCTGCAAACGGCACGAAAGCTGGAAGATGATATCGATGATCGCCGCCTCTCCAAGCAAGGTCGTACAGTTGTCCATCCACATGACGATGATGCAGGCGATATCCCACGGTACGCGAGTACTTTAATGTACTCTAATCCCACAATGTGTTCTCAAACAACGTTTGCCTTCTGTTTTGTAATTCTGTTTTTTTTTTTTTTCTTTTCCATTTCCCCCCCCCCCGTTTTTCCTGTTCGGCATCTCCCCCTTCGTCCCGGGATTCTTTTTTGCGTACGTCGGCATCCTTCTCCCCGAGTCAACCCAACCAGCCTTGGGTGCAAGAGAAGAGGGGGGGGGTTTGGACCTAGAAAACCGCGCACGGCACTTGGATCCGTGACGCCACCCGCCATATTGATGATGTGCTTCATTTCTCTCGATCAGTAACTTCTCCTCGTCCAAGATTTCCGATCCGTCGCACCATCGGAGACACGGCCATGGACTGGGGGAAGGAGAAAGTGGGATTCCGCGCCACGATTGGTGCAGACACCGTGGAATACACGTATGCTGAGACACGGTGCCCACCTACATTTCATATCTGGAGCGCGTTGTGACTTGACGGTTGACACCACCGAGACGCAGATCAGCGCATTGCCCCTCTATCATCGGAGAGGAGAAGAGAGGGGGCTGTTCAATCAGGACAGTTCAAGACGAGCCATGCTGATTGGCATGGAAATCCAAGACAACAGCAGGCGGCTGGGAGGGACCAAGACCAAGACCAGCAGTCGGGTACCTGTAGGTACAAATGCAGGGCGCCACGGCCAGACGCACGGCCTGGTGGCCAAGTAGAGCCAGGTACCGGCTGCAGGGCTTATCGATAACCTGAATCATGCCCTCCATCAAGCAGGGCCACGGCGGTGATGGGACCATCTAGGATCCATCGAGGACTCAAGGATCCCTAGGTTGGCCTAGTGGGAAGCTTGCGATCGACGTAGTGGATCGGATGACGTCGTTGACTTCGTTGTGGCGATCCTGCGATCTGACGGGCGTGTACGGAGTAGTACATATGTACAGTAGTGTGTAGTCTAGCGTCGTTCCATAATTGGATACATATGTACATCGTACTCGGTACATTCCTGCCGCCATCCCCATTCCTTTCTGTTCCTGGTTTCTCTTTCCCTTTTCTTTGGAGGTCCACGCAGGGGGTGGAGAATGGCTGATCATCGCTGTTTCGCCTTTGAAGCGGTCAAGTGGATGCAGATGACAGGTCTCCGCGCGTGGCCTCGTCGAATTTGTGCCCCGCACGGCCAATGACAACCCCGCGCATTGCATGGTGAGCCAGGAGCATCCATGTACCTGAGGGGTGTCGCAAGAAGGATGCGTACCTGGAGGGCCTTGGCCACAAAAATGGCACGGACGGGCACAGACTCTCGCTGACCTGGCCTGAGCTGGGGAAAAGGGGTTTGGGGTTTGGGGTTTGGGGTTTGTTGTCGGTGATCCAGAAGATGAGGCTATTCGGTACCCTCCCGAACGATGCTCGTCTATACCTATACATACATGTGATCTTAGAACGGGCAGTCTTGGGTGTACAGCGCTGTCTCGTTTCCTCTCCCTGTCTCTCATTTTCACATTCTACTCGTCTCAATATGAGGCCATCCGATATCTATTTCTCGATAGTGACCGCATGAGTACATGCTCACTATCAAGGCCCAGCAGCCTCCCTCCGCCCTTCGGAAAGAATCGCCTTCGACTTACACGGCAACCTGTTTTACAGCCCGGTGGGACCGTGTACTCTCAGGCTGTACTCCGTACATGGCACAGCAAGGCAGCCCGAGTCAAGCTGCAGTGCGCGCGGTCAGGTCCCAGCCACCTTCAAAATACGATTTCAGTAAGCCACCCGGTGTATTGTGCAGGAGTCAGATGACTTCTTATTCACCGTAAAATCTCCGAATCCCGGAGTCTTTGGGCAATACGGCCTCACTCCCAGTGCTAGAGGTCTGAATGCTTCTTCAGCTAGTGTCACCCAGTCAGCTTCTCATGGTTCAAACCACCGTTTCCATTTAATTTACCTTTTTTTCTTCTCTTTTCTTTTGTCCCAGGTACCTGGGACATGGCTGTTTTGGATTTCTGGGGTAGACAGGCCCCGTCACGCCGGTCTCAGATCGGGTGTACCGCGGAAGGTGGAACTGGAGTTACATGGGTCAGATCATCAATGGCGAGGTACGTATAGCGGAAGTCTGTACAAGATGGAGAACATTGTCACGTTAGGGTGACATCTTCAGGGGTGGAAGTGATGTGTGTTTGTTCATTATATTTTGTAATCATCTCCTTATGATGACGTCTATAAGAGATCTTTTTTTTTCAGACCTCAGGCTTCGCTAACGGGGCGTATTAACAACAAATGAAGCTGGATTAGGGTCGCGGTGATCTACTTCAACGGCTCAACGGCCCGACCACCGAGCTAACCATTACCGCGGCTTCGCGTTCCCAGTTTGCCGCGCTCACGGGGTCGGTCCCTGATCGGCTCTTATCGGCCATTACTCCGGCAGTGGAGGCCTGCGAAGATCGAAGCACACAGTCTCTGATCTCGGCTTTCAAGCGATCCCGATTGGAACGTAGAGTCCGAGCTGACACGCCGCCGCGATTGATTATCTCCTGAACCCGGCTAGAGAGAGATGAAGCAAGTGAACGCCAGTAGTACGATGGCAAAGAGGATGTGTCGAGGCTTCGAAGTACCGGTTGTAAGAGATTGACCTTACTTTTATCAGCAGCGGCCTCGGCATCTGATGCAGGTTGGTCGACATGGGTGCTGGCCAATTCGAGGAGAGGATGTGCTGGTGCGCGGAGGTTTCGTAGAATAGTCTCGAAGGCCACAATGTCCTGACAACGCGCGGATACATCTCCCAGTGCTCGATCCATTGTAGGCAGCTGAGACAGGGATTTTGCGAGAGTATTCACGGAACTCATAATTGCCGTATGCATGTAACCCTGGACTGTTGAAACAAAAAGCTCAGGTTTGTAGTCGATTGCTGAGACCGGTTCTCGAGGAATAGGCGAAAGGAGGTACAGAGTTGCTGCCGCTGTAGCCAAGCGTGACTTTGAATCGCGGGTTTGCTTATAGTTCGACCCTGATGATTGACCATTTGAGGCGCCCCCTGGGCTAGATATCGAAAATTGATTGATGGTTTGTTGGGCCCTTGACTTGACCATATTCTCGGCTGGAATGACAAATTCGTTGCGCAACGTGCGAGCGACTTTGACTCGATCTAGTCCGTATCCCTCTTCGTCTTCCGAGGTGGCCAAGTACATCTGTCGCAAATTCAAAATCGTATATGCCGCGCGCTCTAGAGCTCGGAACCCTTCCTTGCCTGTTGTTACAGTCGCCCCATCGAGACCAGTTGAAGACTGACCGGCAGTGCCACGGCCCAATATCTCTGCAACCTGGCTCTCCAACTGTCGACCAAGTCCGAGACAGCGCGACACGGCTCGTGCCAGCCGAACCGTCGCTAATGACTTCTCGGCGGCAATTCGAGCTTCGTCCGCCGCTTGCCATTTTTGCACAACCTCTTTCTCTAAGCGCTCATATCCTTGTGTGACTGAAGCAATCTGTGTCCCCGTTTCTTTCAATATATGTTCTGCGGCTCCAGTTTGACCTTGCGTGTGGGCCAGTAGTGGCAGGGCGGATCTCGTAGTTAGGCCGTGGATGTGGGTGTCAATTTCCTGAAGATCAAAAAGCACCCGTGATAGTGGCGTCGATAAATCTAGAGGCGTGTCTGTGGCATTGTTGGTACTGAGTACAAGTGTATTGGCGAACCCAGACGGTGAGAAGTCAGGGTCTAAAAAGGCCTCGTAGTCAATGTAGGATGGATCCCCTTCCGTCATAATGGATATGTGAGACGTTCAATGGGAAATCAACGCTTCGAAATGAACGATTTTGGACAGACGCCGGGACGAATGAACAGAAACACTGTGGGGTACTAGTGTAACGACTCAAGAAGCGCTCACACGCAACATTTGCAGGGCAGGTCTCGACGAAGGTTGCGAGGCGAATTTGGCTCGTTAATTGCGACTATCACAGAGTAATTGACCGATTGTATCAGACCACGGGCCTTCCTTGAGCTAGGCACGAGTGTCGGCGGGGTTCGTGGAGTAAGACAGCTGTCGCGATTTCAGGAACCTCCGCGATATGGCGCTCTGATAAAGGTCACGTGTTAGGTGTTCTAGCCTGAGGCTGCCAATTTGATAGTTCTATGAGTACTACGTACCACTAACAGTATCGCTCATTTGGCCGATGCTCCATTCCAGACTTCACAAATTCAGATCCTAATTTCAAAATATAGCACCCAATCTCCAATTACTAGTATAGTGTCATGCCATGGAGCATTGAAAGCAGAGAGCAACCTGGAATGAACAACTAAACGGCTACAGAGAGATGACACAACCAAACGGGGTAGTTACTCCAATCAAGAGCGCGATTTATCAGCAAGAAGATCTCGTTCAGGATGACTCTTCAATCTCTCAGGCAAATACCAACGCACAGAAGTCCGACACGCCTTCTTCCGACACTTTACCGAAAGGGAGTGACACCTTCCAATGACAACTCAGGCGGGGTTTGCGGGTGGACCCCCCAGAGATAAGCCCTCCGTTAAACTTTCACGGGGCCATTTGAAGCGTCCCAGTGGCTAGGTTACCTTCCCCTGTGCAGTTATCTGTAGAAAGGAGATTTGGTAGGCGATCCCGTCCGCTTGATGATTTATTATAAAATGCGCATTCCCGTTTGGCTGATCCACTCTGGTCCACACTCCAAATCTCAATATCCGTCTTCAAGTCAAGAGGATTGTATAGTTGTGACCGATCTTGTCATTCAAAATGACTACCGCTACGTCCACCCAACAGACTCAACGTTCGTTCCTACTGGCTGGTGAAGAACAGATCACAGTCACTCCCGCAGCCCAAGATGCCGCCTTCCAGTCCCTAGCTCGAGGAACCCGCGATGGCGCCCTGAAGCTGCGCGGAATCCCCACCCTTTTCGGATCCTCTGGCGCAACGACAGTGGATGAAGGAACACATGGCTGCTGCTTTCCGCTATTTCGGCAAGCTTGGATATGGAGAGGGTGTATCTGGACATATCTCGATGAGAGGTATGAACTAATCAGATCATGATGGAGTCCTACGTATAAGCTAACGTACTTAAGACCCTATCCTGAAGGACCACTTTTGGATGAACCCATTCGCCAAGCATTTCTCCACTATCAAGGCTTCCGACTTGGTGCTTGTCGATGATGAAGGTTATGTTACTGAGGGTGGTGCCCAGATTCCCATCAATGAGGCTGGCTTTATGATTCATTCCGAGATTCACAAGGCTCGACCTGATGTCATTGCCGCGGCTCACACCCATGGCATCTATGGAAAAACATGGAGTTCATTTGGAAAGAACATCGAGATGCTTACTCAAGGTATGTCTTTGTTGACATCTTGATTTACCCTAACACGGAAATACTGACTTATCGAATGAAGACGCATGCAATTTGTTCGGCCGCGTGAGCGTTTACGAGGACCACGGTGGCATTGCTCTCTCTCAAGATGAAGGGAAGCAAATTGCGGCTGCCCTTGGCAAAGATAACATTGCTTGCATTCTGCAAAACCATGGGTGAGTGGATGAATCCGAAAATGAATCTAGCTACTTTCTTCTAACGAGGGGATTCTAGTCTTCTAACCGTCGGCACAACGGTTGATGAAGCTGCCATCCTTTATTCTTTCTTGGAAAATGCTTGTCAATCGCAGCTTCTGGCTGAGGCTGCTGCTGCCAATGGAATCCCCAAGAGAATTATCAATGATGAGGTCGCTCAATATACCGCCAATGTGGCTCAGAACCCCGTGAGTATCATGAAGTTGAGTATGATATTGATATTGTACTAATAATTTATAGCACAACCTTTACACCGAGTTTCAACCAGAGTTCGATCTGATTGTAGAAGAGAGCAATGGGAGGGTACTTCAATAAAGTAGTGTTGCTACAGTATTCGGCGAGATGGTATATCATTTAAGAAAATTATAAGCGAAGATCAGTTTTACATGTGCTTATAGAATAATGGACTTGGTTTCTGACGAGCAGATCGTTGTCTGGGATTTATATTTCTAGTTGAATTTCATGACATGACCAAAATAGCTCCAAGTTCCGAGTTCTTCAAGTTTGTCCCCTGCCTTCAACCGCAAGGTAGCAATGCGAGGAATGCAGCCTAGGGCCCTTGAATGACGAGAACAGCAAGACGAGAGATACTACTAGTACTTACTAGTGTTATCTTACTGCCATTCTATAGTGAGTTAGCACATACTAGTTAGTAGTAGTATTGTACCCGTGTTGAATGATTCAAGAGTTAAGCTATAGAATATATTGCTTCGCGAAGGTGTTTCTTGGCCACTGCGGCGCGCAGGCATGGAAAGTCTCCAAGGTTCTTTTCAAACTGGCTCCAGTTCAACAAACAAAACTTACTTCAAGTTAGTGTGCGTACTTACTACTAGTACTACTAGTACCCTGCACCACAGGTCCATTAATGTCCTCTTCGGCATCCAATCATCACCCAAAGCTGTTGAGATAGTCGTATCGGCCCCAAGATTGAGCAGAGTATAGAACCGAAACACATCAGTTTCAAATAGCACCGAAGCAGTCTGCTAACGAGACGAAGACGAAGACGAACTTGAAGACAGTCTGTTTTTGAAGCACGATCTTGCAAGAATAAGGATACGGAGGCTAGCTCCAGTTGGATTATTGAAACACTATAGTTGACAAATGAAAATGAAAACCATTCCTTCCTTCCTTCATCCTCAGGACAAACGCCATCTATATAGATGCAACCATGGCAGGGTATACAAGAAATGAGAATGATGCAAATGAATTCCCCGCTATACCCGGGCATCAGAGCCAACAAAAGAAACAAGCCCCCAGAGTCATAGACCAAAAAAAATAATAGAAAAGAAACGGCCATCTGAGGACCGTGTTTAAGAAAGAAAAAAAATACACACCCTCCCTTTATACAGCATGCTCTCCATTTGCCTTCAACCGATCCATCTCGTACTCGTTCTGGAGACTGCGCTCGCGGCCACGACCACGCCCAAAGCTCGATTCTTGTTGGCTATCACCACCGGTCTGTTGCGACGAAGACCCGGCCTGGCTGCTACCCTCGAGTCCAGTGAAAGTAATCGGACGAAGTTCTCGGTGCTGGCATGCCCACATACCGACGAATATCATCATCCCGGCACTGGCAAATTGTAGACCCCACCACAGGAGGTTTGAAGGGAGTGAGTGAGTATAGAAGGTGGTGGCGACGAGGTGGAGGAAGTGGATTGTAAGGGCGAAGTCCGGTACCAACTTGGACCGCGACACGAATAGAAGAAGAAATATCACGCTAGAAAGTAGAGAAGGTTAGCCAGACGTCTCAAGGGTATATGAATAGAGTACTCTAGCTCGAGCTCCGTATGCAAGACAGACTCAACCCACCTGATGAAACAGTTCAACATCCAAACCAAACCAAGAATCCAGCCCACCGTCGTATCTCCGCGCAGATAATCCCAGCCAAAAACCAGGTTCAAGGAGAACGGCGTACCGTAAACGACCGTTGTGAAGAGGATGAGTACCGTTGCGCCGGCATAATAGGCAACCTGAAGTAGTAGGATCTTGCGGATAATCTTCAGTGGCGGCAGTTCGGTTCGTGACCCAGCTGGGAGGCGCCGGCGCCCGGCCATCAACTAGAAGACCAGAAGACCTTGCCTCGGCGAGGTCTCAGCGAGAAGGGTGGGAGTTTGGGGTGGATGAGCGCTGCGTTCAAGCCAGGCGAATGGAGCCTGGTATGAACATGCGATCGCGGGCAGGCCGATGGTCGTGAAACAGTAAGTAGGATGCACACAGTGGTTGCGTTGGGTTGTATAGGGGATGTGGTGTCCTGGGATAAGAATAGAGCGTTGCAGTCGTGAGTGTAGTGGGAAAAGGAACGCCAGCGTTGAGGCCGTGACGATCAACAGTCTTGGCTTGGCGTTGCCGAGCCCGCGGGAGCCACGACCTGCAACGCTCTGCGTTACACGGCTCCGATCACAATCACCTTCACCTTCACGTCCTCGCCACACAGCACTTGTCCCTGATATTCACCTTGCTCAATTTCCTCCTCGACCCCCAGAAACAACACACATATCCCTCAAAATGGGCTGGCTCCCTTGGTCGTCCGGCGGTGAACCCAACAAAGCTTCCGATGGTGGCCGCATTGCGCCGGATCGAACGAGTCGCAAGCGCTGCTGGGAGGGACGGGATCTATTCTTCGCCTGTCTGGATCGAAACGATATTCTCGACGGTATTAAGGATGACAAGGAGGCACGACGGAAGTGTGCGAAGGAGGTTGAAGAGTTCGAGGCAGCTTGCTCAGCGACCTGGGTACGTACAACAGTATTTGCATTTTCAGAACTGTCAAGCTTTTCCCCGCATGGTATTGCTTGAGATTGGATGATTGGGACGATTGCTGATCGTAGTTGGCCTCCCAGGTGAAATATTTTAAGGAAAAGCGCGTGATGGAATATAACCGGGACCAGACAATTGCGCGTATCAAGAAGGAGGATGCTGCGACAGTGCAGGAGCTCAAGTCGCAGGGTCGGAGTACCTCGAATTAAGGGAATGCTTTATGTTTTTGTTTGATGGCGGACGGCCCTTGTACATTATGTACCATACTATCCACTCATGTTTTCTGACGACAACTCTTTTCACTGTCATTCTAAAATCAATCTCAAGGCTGTAATACTATGCCATTTCACAAAAATATGCCCGGCAAAGACAGTTCAAATGAAAATTAGGTAAAGAAGATAAAATCATAGATTGTTATGTTGCTAGGAGGACAATCATGACTCTCACAGGCTTTCAGAGTATTGGGTTGATTCGATGGCCTGAGAGTCGAGCAAAACGAAGCAAGGAAGCAAGCAGAAATGAAAAAAAAAAACTGATTTCCAGAGGAAAGCGTCATATTATATCCATGTTGCGGATGAGAGATAAATGGATGCAGAGGTGAACGAGAATATCTCGAAGATACATGACCGCAAATGGAAAGATACACACAACTCCAATCCGCACCCTGATCACCCTAATATCTAGTAGTAATTGCTGCCCCTAAGAGCACCATTAAGTAATTCAAATAAACGCCAGTTATTGCAGCCACCGGCTGATGCCAGTATGAAAACGAAATCCAAGAAAACCACCGCAGCGTGAAGCTGAAAATGAAGACGCCAAGCTGCACAAAAATAGCAGAGGAGAAAGGATGTGAGTTGCGCCTCGAAAGCAAGCAACAGAATGAGGAAAGTCGTTAATTCATTGCTTTCGATGAAGCAATTGGTTCATGAGATTTTGCACATTCGCAGCAACAGGTGTCTGGCCCTGTGGTGGCTGGCCCCCGAGGCCTTTAGCAAGAAGAGCAAGAAGGTTTGGATCAGAGACGACAGGGGCAGTGGGAGGGTGTATGGCAAAAGGTGGATGGAGAAGAGGTTGTTGCGGGGGTTGAGGGGATCGGGGGAGGCCGGCTCGCATTGCTCAACAGACTGGCCAAGTCGGCAGGGGGCGGGGGGTTAGGAGAAGAGAATGGCGACTGCGCTGCCGATCCAGGCTGTGACTGTGGCCCCGGCCGCTGGAGAGCGGACAAGAGAGACTGAAGGCTGGGTCCATCCAGGGAACTGATCAAGTTCGCAATATTGGGTGGGTTAGAGAGCGTTGGCAAACCTGGCTGGGGCATAGGAGGCTGAGGCATGGGCATGGGCATGGGCATGGGCATGGGCATGGACTGCATCTGAGGGACGCCGAAAGCCGGATTAGGAGCAAAGGAAGCCGGAACAGGGCCTCGCTGCATCGCCTGGGCTTGGTGAAACATGACATCGGCGGCGATATTAGGGTCAACTTCAGGGTAGTCGCTGAAGCGGACGTTGGCCGGTCCGGCACTTCGGTCAAATATCTGAAGGGGAATTTTGCGGGAGAATTGGTTTGGCCGCGACAGTCGAACAACTGCTAGAACACCTTCGATGTATTGACGGTGAACCGCAGCGCCGAGGGGAATCCGAGGACCAAGCACAAGCACGTCTACACGCAAACCGCGATTGCGAAAAGCATTTTCCACGTGAAGAATGAAGTTACGGTCCACTTCTTCCAAAACAAGGACCTGGACCTCTGGCACGTCTCGTGGAGACCGTCTCGGAACTGGGAGATCGGCTTCTCCTTCATAGACGCCACGGGGCCGGGGGCTTGGGCTGCGATACCGACGATCCCGGGCGTACGGGGATCGTGGAGAGCGCGGGGACCGGGATCTTCTACGGCGATCGAGCCTTTCAGGAGTCCGATCTCGTGACCGATATCCATCTCGGCGAAGAGGTCGAGGGGAAGGTGATCGCGGTGGTCGATAGTCATCACGCCTGCGGTGTGAGGGCTCGTCCCGGAAATCGCTAAAGGGGAGTCGAGCCGGTTCGTGAGGACGATCAAAACGATCACCAGTGGCTCGAGCGTTGTTCCGGACAGGGGCAGCTCGGCTGAACTCTGGCGATCGGGAGCGACGGGGCGGTGGTGCACGAACCGGCTCTGCAGGGCCAGGTCGGGTCGATCTCTGTGGCTTGGAAATCTCAAGATCTACAGAGCACAAAGGGAATATATCAGTAAATGGCCATAGAGTACACATGTGTCTTCAAATACTCACGAATCTTCCTCCCACGGACCAAGGCGCCTTGTTCTACCTGCAATGCTGCGTGGCAAGCGTCGGACTCGAGAAATTGGATAAAGCCGTAAGCCTGTTTGATCGAGATTTGCGCCAATTTGCCGTATTTGTGGAATAGGTGGAACATGTCTCTCTTCGTAACCCGCTCGGTGGGAAGGTTCCCTATATAAAAGCAAAACAAAGTCAGCTGAATGCTCTGGAGTGACATGCCATACTCTATAGGATGTATACTGACCCACAAATAGCCTGGAACCCATTGGAAACCGATCCCAGAGACCCTCAGTCACATATATTCTCTCATCATGCAAGAACTCATCATATTTCTTTTGGACTTCCGGCCCCCAGGGCGAATCATCATCCGCTCCTTTGCCGGGTCGCACCGCTGGTTTATCGGTACGACTTTTCTTGGGAGTTTGCGAGAGTCCCTCTTGAGACGTCTGTGAATCCGCGGTCGAAGAAGGGGTGGTTTGTTGGGCTTGTTGGAAGCTGGCAATGGGGGGAGGGGGGAGAGCGCCGACACCGGAGCCAGTGCCAGGGGGACCTCCGGAGGGCATAGAGGGGAAGTTTTGAAGGGCATCGTTACTGGATTCTGTCGCGTAGGCGGGATTTTGGGCAGGGGAAAGTTGGTGATAAGCAGGATCACCATGGGATGGGTAGTTGGGATAGGTGGAGGGGTCTTGGAGGGGAGGGCGGGCCGGGAGGTTCACGGACTGAGCGTCCAGTGAAGATGATAACCCGGGTTGGAGAGGCTCGTCCGTAGATGCCTTGGGAAGCGACGAGCCTTCCTCCACTAGAGAGGGCATAGCCCCTGTAGGCGCGGTCGCCGTAGCGGACGGATGAGAGAGATTGTCCAGCAGAGTTTGAAAATTGACACCAGCAGCAGCCGAGCCTGAACCTGTTCCCGATCCTCCTGCCACTGGCGCTGCCGCTGCCGCTGCATCTTCCTTTAGATCCTCCTCTAGGTGACCTGGCAAAGCGGATGAATTTACCGGGTTGCCGGCATTGTCTATATTGCCCGTTGTGGCGAAGCCCTGGTGGACCGGGACTGCCGGAGGCGCATAGGAGGGATTAGAGTCCGCTAGAGGGTGGCCAGGGTTTGTGTTGCCAGCCTGATCGACGCCCGCTGAGGTAGAAGAGTAGAAACCGGGAGCAGAAACACTGATATCATTCATCATCGCAGAATCCTTAGGCTGCGCACCATGCAAACTACCTGGGTGTCGGGCCAATTCCGAAGCTACCCCCGCCTCCATAGGAAGATTGGGCCATCCATCTTGTGAGTGATAATTTTGAAAGGGAGGCCGAGGGAAATCGGGGCGGTCGTATGTGGAAGTATCGTTGAAGACGGGGTCCATTTGATTCTCGAGGACTGGGATATTGGCTGGCTCCGGGATATGTAGCGGTCGGGGACTTTCCGGGGTCAGGGTCTTTCCGCGGAAGTGAAGCGCTTCATCTGGGGGACTGGGCGTCATGTAGACAGAAGGGAGGAGGAGGTTTCATCTACAAAAAAGGGAAAAGGGGAGAAGGGGAAGGGGAAGGGGAAGGGAAAAAATGAAATGGAGGAAGAGAGAGGATGACGGAGTGGAGGGCGGCGCAAAGACACTGAATTTTGCAATCGCAAGCTAAGGTGGGGCGATGAGAAAAAGACCGGGCCCGTTTGTAAGGGCGGTAAGGCTCCCAGATAGGGTAGACGGGGCCGAGCAGAACTACCCAGTGAGGGGATATGGAATATGGAATACTCTACGGAGTACGGAGTACTGGCATGGAATATGGGACAAAGGAAGAGGAGGGGTACAGAACCTTGGAATAGGAGTACGAGTATCAGAAGAACAAAGACAGAGAGAGAGAGAGAGAGAGAGAGAGAGAGACAAGGGTTGCAGGATTCGGATGCAGCATGCAGGACACCTGTACGAGCACATCATGGCGACGATCGAGTACTCTACTGAGTAGTATGTACATGGTCACAGTACATATGTACGGAGTAGTATACCGTAGTTAACTACGGAGTAACTAGAGCATACATACTGTACAAGTATGGAACGTATGTAATGTACAGTTATAGAAACAGAGTTCCCGCCAATGAGGGCGCTAACCGCGGCCAATTTAGTGCTTGTTTTGGTTGGTGAGGAGCAACTATGTACTGCTCGTACTGGTTAACTACTCTGTTGTATTACTTAGTTTTTAAGTACTGATTTATATAGGTACTACCGCCACTACATACTAGTATAATCCATACAAACTGGAATCGGTAACACTAGCATTAGCTACTGTACTAAGTATGGCCCAGACCCCCCCTGTCCTTCTCCATCTCCTTCACGGCAACTTTAGAGCTGTTTTAATTAGTCACACCAACCCCCTTCTCAAAGGTTCTAGCGCCGCAAAGCTCCACCTTTTCCCTTTCACCCCTTCACCCATCTCCATATTTTCGTCCCAAGTTTCGCCCTGACAGGAATGACGCCGCTTTGGAAATCTCTTCCAGTCAGGTGGTCGTCTTGGAGAAAGTTTGCCTCGCGTTCAAATGGGTCGGCTGACTTGGACCTCGAACTAGCCAGGTCGTGGCTGAAAGACCTGCATCCGAATACTATCCCCCGCCATATCGCCCAGCTGTCTTTCAGCCGTTCTAGCGGCCCCGGAGGACAGAATGTGAACAAGTCGGTGCAACCCCGAGATCCCCTCCTCCTCTTCCTCCCTCCTCTGCTAGTTACCTGTTCCTTGTTACCCGTGCTCCGTGCTCCGTCCTCCGTACTCGTACGCTGTACCTGTACTCCGTACTAGTTGGAACTTGCTGATCGTGGGGTTCTTCCAGGGTCAATTCAAAGGCCACGCTGAAAATCCCATTGGTGGCCTTGCTTCCATTGGTGCCAAGTTTGTTACACCCCCAGCTACGCGGTTCCCGCTATGCGACCGACCGGTCCCAGGCCCTGGTGATACAATCCGACGAATCCCGACAGCAATCGAGTAACGTGGAGGCGTGCTTTGACAAGCTCCACCAGCTGCTCCTGAGCTCGGCAAAACAGGTCATCCCCGGAGAGACTTCCCAGGAACAATCGGTCCGGGTACACAAGCTGCAGCGTGCACAAAATGAGGCGCGGCTCAAATCCAAGAAATTTGCCAGCAACAAAAAGAGCAATCGACGGGGGAGTAAATACGATGATTGATGGAGAGAAAAAAAAATATCAAAGAGACAAAAGCTAACATGGTAATTGGAAATATCTGCCCTGGAATTTTATTATTCACAGCCCACCCAACAACGCCTTGAATGTGCAGAATCATGATAGTACCTCCAAATGAGGTCTAGCGTACTCAAGGTACTCAAATGTTTACTCCTGGGCTGCAACACGTTCCGCATTGCGCATGGTCGCCACAATAACCTTCTTCAGTGAGGGATCCAAGTCCTCCGTTTCGACAATAGACTGCAGCCATTTCACGACCTCCGTCGCCAATGCGCTGCTCAGGTGTGTCTCTTTCAAACGGGTAAGAGAACCACCAAAGGCCCGTGGAAACTCGGCCGATGTGACGGAGAGACCCGCAGTCGGGAACTTGATGTAACAAATCTGGGTACGGGGACTCGTAGGCTGGTGCGCCCGCATTGTCTCCACCACGTGGTCAAGGATCTTATGCAGACACGGCGCATCGTGAAACTCGGAGACCATCTCATAAAAATCGAACCCGAATCGATCATCGTTGTTGAAATGCTTCATCGCAGCGTCGAAGATGGCGAGTGGGATGGCACCAGTTAATGCCGGTGTGGAATTGAGGTTTTCCAAGGCCTCCTCGACGGCCTTGTCATCGCCCCCACTGGGGTTAATGTCCTCGCCCGTGATCGACGGCAACGCAATCATGTCGGCGTCGGTGTCGAGTTCTTTATCTTCAATAGGTTTAGGCCGTTGGCTAGCTTCGTCGAGTCCCAATATCCGTTGACGTGCCACTAGCTTGGCGACATAGATCAATTCCAATTTGGCATATTGAATCCACAACACCTTAGCGCTCTTGCAAAACCGTAAACCTCGCTGCATATAACTCCGAGCCTGTAACATATCCGCATGGTCGTCGAGAGAATATTTGGCGGCATACACCCAGAGCTCGGCGCTGGTTGGGTGCAATCGAAGGGCGTCCGTGAAGATCATCGAAAGCTTCTTGTGCGCCTTCTGCTTCCGTGTATAATCAATGTATTGAATCCAGAGGTTGAGATCGCCATGGAACTTGCGGGTGGCCCGGTCGAGGATGAAGAAAATTCGCCGTTGACCACTGTGCCCAGCGGTGCGAATACCGAGTCGTTTTGTTCGTTTTCTGGTGAGTGAGTCGAGGTTCATCTCATATTGGACATATCGCACAAAATCGACAGGCTGCGCGCCACGCGCATTGAGTTTGTGCTCGAAATCCGACCGTTTCTTGACGATCGAGGCAATTTCATCCTGGTGGTCTCACGGTTAGCAAACCCGTCTTCCACCCACGGGCTTCCCGAGAGTAAAGGACTTACCTTGTTGAAAATCTTCTTACGCTCATAATCTTTCAGCTCGGGCACTGACTGCTCGAGGAAAAAGCGAGCTTTATCTGTGGCGGCCGACATGGTTGAGGCTGCTGTCACTGGAAAAAAAAAAGTAGTCGGCATCCCGCAACAAAGCACCGACGACTATCTGGCGCTATTCCACATCGGGACTAGCTCCACCGCCGAGCACAAGGACACTTGGACAGCACCGACGGATCCGAATGTTTTTCCCTCCTCAGGGGCCTTCCTACATCCTCCTTTCGTTTTGCGTTTCCTTTTTTCTTTCTTTTCTCGACACTCACTTATTTCTTCTCTTCATTCAATTGCTCCTATATACCGGCTGCAGAACTCTCCCTTCTTCTGCGCCGCCATGGCCCCCAGATTCAAGGATGGGGATGCCGTGGTCTCCGTAAGTGCCTTCATCACGCGATAAGAACCTCGGTTCATGACTGACCCAATTCAATGCAGTTCAACGGCAAATGGGTCGCGTGGACTCATACCATCTTTGCGTATGCCGCCTTTTTCAGCGCGCTGATTGTCGGTGTCGCATTGCATTACCATAAGATCGTCCAAAATGAACACTACGGTTACCCCGACGAATGGTTCCCCTCCGTCTCCGCAACCATTGGTGATCGATACCCCGAACGATCCTTCTTCCAAGTCTTCATTGCCATCACCTCCGGTCCTCGCTTCGTCCTCGTTTTCTTGTGGTATGTGCTGACCGCACGTCCTAATTCGACCCTGCCCAAGATTGTTGCTGGCGTGGGTATCTTCCGAACTCTGACTTGTGGTGGATGGACCTATGTTACCTCCACCGATGATCATGATTGGCATGACATTTTCATGATCTCCTATCTTGTCGCCACCCTGCCATGGACCCTGGGCTGCCTCGCCTTGAGCCCTAACAATCGCCGAGCCGTCAAATACCGCAAGATCATGGCCAGCCTTTTCTTTGGAACCCTGGTGCCATTGATCTATTACTTCATTCAGCACAAGGTGCACAAGGTTGCTGGTGGTAAGTTACTATCCAGGGTATTGATCCAAGTGAATTGATGTTGTATACTAACCTGAAATCCCATTACCCAGCCTACACCCGCTATGCTTTCTTCGAGTGGTCCTTGATCCTGTTTGATGTTGGATTCGATGCAATCACCGCGCTAGACTTTGAGGGCTTCGAGCTTGTGGTTCGTGACGTGAAGGGAATGAGCAGAGGGTATGTACCCTGGCTTCCGAAATGAAACCCCCAACAACAAATGTATATTGTCGAAAGTTACGTTGGTTACGAAGAAAACAATTTGTGTCTAAAATTCTTTCCTTCTAGGCAGTTGAAGACGACTGCGGATTCTGTTCTCGAAAAAGAGTGCGTGCAACCATAATCTATTTCCGCCCAGTATGGAAATTGACATTGTAGTTTAGGAAAGGCAAGCCCGTCGGCAATACCTTCGGGGAAGGCTTCTTCTGGGCCGAGATCCTTGACGCTGCTTGTGATGTTTACAACGGGGTAAGGGCATTCTATTTTGGATACTATAAACTGTCTCGTTGCTAACTTTCGGCCATAGTTCGTCTTCTGGACCATCGTGACTGGATTGCCTGTTCTTGTGTGGTACTTCCCTCTATGGCACATGGGCATCTCGGGATACGAAGTTGCAATCGCGGCTGTTATCTCCCCCGTGTTCCTCGCCATCCCGTCTCTGCGATATGCGGCTATCAAGAACCTGCGGGGACTTCACCTGCTTTCGCTGGTTTCCCTGCTGGCGTACAAGTTCCAGGACCCCGCCAACCGCCTCTTCGTGACTGCATTTGCCCTTGCAACCACATGCGCTGCATGGACTGCTACGTTCTTCGCTGAGCGTGGCAACACTCCCCGCCTTGAGACCCGTATCATGGCATGGGGTATCGGTCTCATCATGTCTGTCGTCGCTAAATTCGCTTGCTCCACTAACAACCCACTCTGGCCTATTATGCACACTGAGAATGGTGGCTGGAACAAGATTGGTCTAGCTATTGCGATCGTTTCCGTGCTGAGATCCTACCGGCCAAACTTCACCAGCGGCGGCGACTATATGCCTGCCGGCGGCAAGAAGGGCTCGTCACTTCTGGCTGGTGTTGGGTTTGCCGGTCTCATGTTCGCCATTGTTTCTCTTTTGACTGACTCCAGCACCATGATCTCTTGGGTTTGGGAGGGATACCCCGTTCGTGGACCAATTGCGGTTCCCCACGGTGCGGTCACTATTTTCGCCATGGGTGCTGGTCTGATTTTCGGTGTGTTCTATCCTCGCGTGGCAGGCAGCTGGACGGCGTATGGCCTTGGATCGGTTGGTGCCGCCCTTCTCACCTATTACCACCACTGGACCGGCTACTATGGCGCCCTCATTTTTGCATTCTACATTATGGCAGCCGCTCCATTCATCATCACCTCTTGCGTCCGCCATTCCCCGGGGAGTACATTCGGCCTCGGGTTCTTTCTCTACGTCTTCCTGCTCCTTTTCCATGTCTGGGTTGTTGCATACGCCTTCGTTCCTGGTGGCCCCCTTGTTCGTGAGCGTACCGATTGGCTCATGATTACCACTATGCTCTTCATTGGAGCTGGCGTGTTCTCCGCTGCCACCACCAACTCATCCCGCACCCGCAAGCACAAGCCTGTTAGCCCCAACAGCAAGAGACAGCGATCCTACTACATCTACGTCCTTGCTGCGCTGCAACTACTTGCTGTATCTATTGCGTACCTACGTTTCCCAACTAACGACTATACACCTCATCACAAGGAGGACAAGGTTGTGACCGCTGGTATCTGGACAGTTCACTTCGGACTGGACAATAACATGTGGGCTGCAGAGCGACGCATGCGTGATGTCCTCGGAGAGCTTGAGCTGGACGTTATTGGATTCCTTGAATCTGATAATCAGCGCATTATCATGGGTAACAAGGATGTCACCCAATATATTGCCGAAGATCTAGGCTACTACGCCGACTTCGGCCCCGGCCCTAACAAGCACACCTGGGGCTCTGCTCTTCTTTCCAAGTTCCCCATTGTGAATTCCACTCACCATCTTCTTCCTTCGCCCGTCGGTGAGCTAGCTCCTGCCATTCACGCCACCCTCGACATGTATGGTGAGATGATCGACGTGGTTGTTTTCCATTCCGGTCAGGAGGAAGATCCGGAGGACCGTCGTCTTCAGAGTGAATATCTGTCGAACTTGATGGGATCCTCCCCTCGTCCTCTTATTCTCTTGAGTTACCTGGTCACTAAGCCACTCGAGGGTAACTACAACACTTATGTTAGTGAGGTGAGCCACATGAAGGATATCGACCCCACTGATTGGGATCGATGGTGCGAGTACATTCTCTTCAAGGGCTTGAAGCGAACTGGCTACGCCAGAGTTAGTCGCGACACTATCACCGACACAGAAATCCAGGTAAGACTCATAAAACCTCCTGCCCATCGCCTTTTTCAGTAACTGACAGTAATATAGGTCGGCAAATTTGTCATCGGTGAGCCTGAGCCAGAGAACGAGATGCGTATCCCGGAGGAGATGGTGCCTACTGGCCGCCGTTTCCCTGCTCTTTTCCGTGGCGATGGTGTCCGTGGACACCGCTATCATGTCTTTGATGAGCCCCGGTACTGGCAATAGATCGTTTCGGTGCTTAGGAGAAATGTTCTATCTGCCA